ACACTTCATATTGATAATATCGGACAACACGATTGGAGTGTCCGACATTATTTGAAGGAATAACTTCCATCACTATGGTTTCATGGAATCAAGAGCAAATAATATTAAGTTCACTTTTTTTGAAAACGCAAACACGAATATGATTGTGCACCACTTATTATTAAATTATATACGGACTAAATGAAACTATTACATTGTGATTAACTACTTTGTGAACATATTTAAACAGAACATAGCAAAGCAAATCTCTAAAGTAAGCATTTTTCTCTGGTGACTATGACATAGTGCTTTACCCTTCCCAGAGTATTTGGCTAAGTTCTATGTCATTTAACAGTCCATTTTCTCCTTTGTATGAACAACTCGTTCTCTATCTCAAGATCACATACTACTACAATGTCCTTTTGCGAGGCAAATCTTGAAACATTTTTTTAGGGTTTTTTACTAAATAAATGGAATCAAGCAAATAAGATTGTACTCCGTATAAAGTGGTGGTTGAATGCTTCGATCAAGACTTTAGATGGGAATCATATAGCCATTATGCCTCGAATCATAACTTGACATATTTGGAAAGTATACTAGGATCTCCTCTTAAATGAAACTCCTTAATGTTTGGAAATTGTCATCAACTGTATTACTCGACTTATGTTAAGTTGATGTATAGCTAATAGACGCTTACCTGTAGCGGGTCTTCTGAAAGAAGTGGGTTTAATTACTTACACCCCTCAATCTGTGCAAGGGAAACAATGTGCATATTGGAGCGTAAAAACTCAAAACGCTGACTAGACAAATTCTTAATAAAAATGCCAGCTAACTGTAACTGGATAGGAGCATATTTGACAATTACATCTCCATGACCAACACGTTCTCGGACAAAAAGGTGATCAATCTTGATGTGCTTACAGTGGTCGTATCAATTTGTTTTGTTTCACCCGAAGTCCTTGTAAAATTGCGAAGTTTTATTAACCGCCAAAAAAAAAAAAGGCTATCACGCTTAGAGGCTATCACGCCTAATTTTGGTACTCGCAGAAAAGCCGAAGTCTAAATTCCTCATCCAAGTTCCGCAGCTCAAACAGCATAGTCTTACTAAAAGACAAGAGCAGGGACACAAGATCTTTTTCAAGATCAGACAGCCTTACAAATAGAAATCAAATTTCCTCAAACAGGAAAAGAAGGCCTTTTTTCAAGGCCAAGACTGATTTACAATAGGCTAAGGATGAATTTAAGGAATGGACTTCGCACCGGAGGGGCTATCATGCCTCGCCAATTCAAGTGGTTCGTCTTAAGGCTCAAATAACCTAAGATGAAAAACCCACCCTATTACGGTTCAGAAAGTAAGAACTTAGGGTTATAATTGGTAAAGCTCTCCAAAACGATTCAGAAATTAAGAATCAAGGAAAGTGACCCTGACCGGAAAATCAGGGCTGAACTACAAGGACAAAAGTGATGAAAACATACTTCCCTACCGGGTAACGAAGGCCAGACCTTGAGGTTGAACCAAGTTCCAGAATCACGCAGATGCAAGAACGAAGGTCAAATTCCCAGACGATTAATCAAGGAGGAAACCAGCCCCAGAATCAGGGCTGAGTGGTGCAGGTTGAGCTTAAGGGAGGTTGGACAGAACAAGTCAGCCGACCCTGGGATAGCAAGATGTGATAAACAATAGTTGCATTAAAAATACAAAAGAATGTTACAAGCCACCCCTAGAGAGAGAAATAAACCTATAGCCGCCAGAGAGGATCCTCCAGAGAAAAACGAAATTCGTCCAAAATAATCGACGATTGGAAGGTCCACAATTGATTTGGGTTCTGGGAATATGATTGATGAGGTCCGATGTTGGGTCTTCGCGATTTCAATGAAGAGAGAGGCGGACGATCCTCTTCAAATCTGGTCAAGTTCTCGAACGAGTATTCCAATCCATTCGATCGGCCGCCAAAATCAATATTTTCTAAATCAATTCCCTGTGATTGCCCCATTGATTTTGGTGGTTTGCCTTCCGGGGTAAAAAAAATCAATTCCCTGTGATGGTTATGTAATACTCCCTCCGTCCCGCTATGATTGTCCTATTTTACCTTTTCGGTCCGTTCTACTAAGATTGTCTCATACCTTATTTGGTAAAATTTGTGTGGTTCTAAAGCATTGTTACATTGTTCTTACTTTATCAATTCAATATCAACCACATAAACCCACTTTTATTAATAACTGTGTCACTTTCTATTGTTCCAAACTTAAGGGGACGGAGGTAGTACATGATACATCCAAGATTGAAATTCAGGAGCACCATCACCAGTAGCCTCACGCGATTGGATCTGGAGCGTAGTTTTCCTTGTGAAGAATTTTGACTTGGTCAAAATTGGAGAGGATGATCAAGCTACTGCAATTCTTGGAAGGTTGACCCAGCAATCCAAAAGCTAAGTGATTCGTCCTTATTTCATACACCCTGTTCTAAAAATCGTTCAAGGCGTCCGACTAGTCCTCGCCTAGGCGCTAGGCGGTGGTCGGACGCCCCGATTTTCGTCTAGGCGCTCCGCCTAATTGGTTTGTCGTCTACGTGAATTAGTCGGCCGCCTATGGCGCCTAATTGCCCGCCCAGAGCGCCTAATCGGCCGCCTAGGCCGTCTAGATTCGCCGAACATTAATTACTTTACTTTTCAATTTTAATTTTCTAAGCGATATAAGTACTTTAACTTTAGCCACAAATATAAAGAAATGAAGTTGTAAATTAAGATAAAGACTATATATGCTTGTATATACCTAAATTTTATTATTATTTATATTTATAACATAATGAAACTAAGTGTTTAGTTATCATATACTACGTATGATTAAATGTGATAATTCTATCATTCATGTTTGTTAATGTATGTGTGTAAATGTGTTTTATTCACACAACAATACAATATTACTTATCATATTTATGCAAAAATATAGATAAAAATGCAATTTCTATGTTCCGACTAGTCCCCAACTAGGCGCCCGCCTAGCCGCCTAGGCGTTGGGCGCTGGGCTGGCGCCCGACTAGTGCCTAACGCCTTTTAGAACATTGTTCATACATATACATATAGTACTATCTATATTATATTATGTATTAAAAGATATTGTAAAATTCATAATAAAAAATATGTAATTGATGTAGTATCACTTTGATCTCAGGGGCTAGTCATCCCGAATATCAAATTCAAACTACAAAGCCCGAGCAATGAGTTGAGCTATGTCATTATTATTTTTTATTATTGATTGGTGTGCATTTTTTGACATTGAAGAACGGAATTATGAACACTCAAATACGCCCGAACGAGTGCTAACACTCGAGCTAACCGGGTCACATCAGACGAGTGTGATTTATAAGCTCACGGTCTAAATGTCACAAAATGTATATTCCTGATTCTATGTTTTGTACGAGTCATGTGTGCTCCTCTCTTTAGACATCACGCTCTGGCCTCGGGGGTAGTCATTTCGAATATCAAATTCAAACTACTAAACCCCGAGTGGTGAGTTGAGTCCTAGATATGGGCCACACTCTACTAAGCATGGGATCTGGATTGAAAATTAGACGACATTTACTTGTGCTCAAATCCAATTAGTGAACTCCAGAAACTGTCACAATTTTATTTGAATGCATAGGTACCCTTGGATGAGGACCATCATGCTATATCTCAAGCTTGTTGTGGTTATCTATCAAATAAAGATGATGTCACGAAACAGAGCAGACCAGATGCATCAACAGTCATTACAGCTAAATACATCGACCGATGGGTCCACCCTTTTGCTTCATTTTGGGGGCATCCGGTGTACTCTTTTTCCCTCGCTAGGATTTTTTCCCACATGGTTTTTCCTAGTAAGGTTTTTAACGAGGCACCTCTCCACATGAACAAAAGGTGATAGCCCTCGGTCTCAGAGGAGTCATTACGAGGCACTCACTACTCTACTCCTCTTCATCTCACAATGCCGGCCTCAAAGATGAATAATTTCAAGAATGAGAAAGGAATCAGATTACTCCTCAAAAATCCAGCCCTGCTGATTTTAAGGAGTAGGGGGGCTCGTGATGGTACCATGGATTCAGCCCATGACCCAACTACTTAATCCAGCCCTCAACGGGATCAACACATCCACGGGATCAGCCCATCAACGGGATCAGCCAAATTAACAGGATTATCCCATAAACGGGATTCAGCCCATAAATGGGAGTGATATCGAATGAGCCGCTGGACCCATTGGGAATCAGGCCCACGATAGGAACCCACAGCCAGGTCGGGCTGGACAGCAGACCTCGAGCCTGGGCGAAGTTCTAGTAAGGTCGAGATATTCCTGAGGTTTACGTGGCAAGGTACCATTCGAAGATAGATATATGGCAACAGAAGATTTCGTGGACTAAAAGGAGAAAGTAATCGTGTGGGAATCAAGGACCGAGGAGTTCTATTTCAAGCAAGAATATAGTTCATTAATTAGCATTGATTGTATTAGATTCCTTCCATAATTCTACCACTTAAATCTCTATAAATACTTGATGTAAACACCCTACCAAGGGGACGGATTTCTGGAGATCGAATTGATCCTCTTAGTCCGGAATAATAATACACAAACTGCTTTACGCTGCCAGATTATTGAATATTTTACGTATATTTAGATCTCGTAGTTGGATTTAACTCCATCATGTGTATATACAAGTATTTCATAATATTGAATTTTTCTTTTAAAGCAAATGAATGATACTTTACACATTACTATTTTCATACTTTACACATTACTATTTTCATTTTCCTCCACTTTTATTTGAATACTAAAAAATGTGTTCATTAGCAAATAAGTCTAAAATTAAAATCATAATAAAACATATACGGAGTACAAACCAAGTCTTTAAAATCGTATTTCTCAAAAACATATTAGCAAAGAATATTCCCTTATTCAAAATGCTATTGACAAGTTCTCTAAATATTTCATAGTTTCTATTGATAAATTATCACTTTAATTTTTTTATATTAATATGACATTTAAAAAAAAAATAAAAAAATTAATATGACATTACCACTAGTATTCGTCTCCCTTCCCCACTGAACTTGCTGATACACGCTGCGCTGGTATATACACCCACGGTACGACCAAACCCCCTGAAATTGCAGAGCCATCATTCTCAGGTACGGTCGAAAGACTCAATTTTGGCCTCCATTAGAACTCGAACAGCATATAAGGAGGAGATACGAAGTGCTGGTCTTCAGGGGAGGTGGATTGTAGAACCGCAGAGTGAGAGACTATTCTCGCTGTATGTCAGAGGAGAGTTATTGCTGTCAATCTCGCAGTGATAATTACTACGGCGGATACATCGAGCTAGCGAACCCGTCGCAATGGCCTCAACTGCGGAAAAAGCGACGCCTGCTCTGTCAAATGCTTCCACCGTTGCTGTTGCGGGCAACGGCGTTTTTCACGAATACGCCGCCAGCGGTGATCGCGGTATCGGTCGCCTGAAATCCACCAGAACCGCCAGCCCTCCACCACTGGAGACAGTGACCGACTCCCCTGATCAACCTCCTACGCTGAATTTGCCTTCTATAACAGGTGAGCATGCGTGTGTATGTGCTGCCAATCTGCCATGATGAAATTATACGTCACATGTATAAATTTTGTCAATTATACGCATATATGTACGTATTTGCTCACATCCAGGTTTATAGAATTATAGGTATGTGTGCGTGTAGATTTTGTTGTTGATTAATTTCATGCATAGAAAGGTGACCCTTTGATATGTATCACCATGTTGGCATGTGCCCTTTTGAAGACCATGCTGCTTCCTTAGAGATACATAGATACTGTAATGTATTTTGGCCTCTGCTTGGTTACTTTCCTTTGTGTTGACTCACAAATCATTATGTTGCACCAACTTCACTCTTTTCTGCATCGAGGCATCAAAGACTTATTAGTGAAGCCTGATTAGTCATTGTTAGACTTGAGTTTAAGTTTCTGGATAATTTTGAGAGGATTGGTTGTGAGATAATTTTCTAATTTGTAATTTACAGGCTTACCAACAACGGTGAGGACGCATACCCCCCATCCTTTGGAACCATTATCAGCTGCTGAGATCTTAGTGGCTGTAGCAACTGTTAGGGCAGCTGGTGCTACTCCTGAGGTTTGATTGTTATATACTATCGTATATTACACTATCTTAAAATGGAATTTAACTTAGGTGTTTAATTATATTCCGTACATGATACTGATGTTGATCTTTAGGTGAGAGATAGTATGCGGTTTGTTGAAGTAGCCTTAATGGAGCCTGATAAGAATGTGGTTGCATTAGCAGATGCTTACTTTTTTCCTCCTTTTCAACTATCATTACTACCGAGAAAGAAAAAGGGTCCTGTCATTCCCACTAAACTTCCACCTAGACAAGCGAGACTTGTTGTCTACAATAAGAAATCAAATGAAACCAGCATCTGGATTGTTGAGCTTTCAGAGGTTCACGCTGTAACTCGTGGTGGCCACCATCGGGGGAAAGTAGTTTCTTCTAAGGTTTTGCTTGATGTCCAGCCTTCGATGGTATATGATTCCTTTGCATGCATAATCATGTAATGTTTATATGAACTTCTAATTTTATGGGATGTGTTTTTATTACATGACTTAATACCCATTTGGGACCATGATTGCACATACTACTGATAATTTTTTCTGGAGTTTACTGTTTGAAATCATTATAAATTCATAATTACCAATAAAGGAATGTTTTTCTTTTTTTAGGAAAAAGAATTGTTGTTTGACAAGGTAGCATTCATGAGTTTTTTTCATTGCAGGATGCTGCTGAATATGCTGAATGTGAATCTGTCATAAAAGATTTTCCTCCCTTTCAGGAGGCTATGAAAAAGAGAGGTATTGTGGATATGGATCTTGTCATGGTTGATGCCTGGTAGGTTGATGCATTCCCATTTATATTTCATTAATCCCTTTAGTGATACGTAGTAGATAGTATATGTTTCTATGAGAATCCGATATTTTTTTCTCTTCAGGTGTGTTGGCTATCACAGTGACGCTGATGCGCCTAATCGCAGACTTGCAAAGCCTCTTATTTTCTGTCGAACGGAAAGTGATTGCCCAATGGAAAATGGTTATGCCCGTCCCGTTGAAGGGATTTATATCCTGGTAGATATGCAACATATGGTTGTTTTGGAATTTGAAGACCGTAAATTCATTCCCCTACCCCCTGTTGATCCATTGAGAAACTATACATCTGGTGGTACAAGAGGAGGTGTTGATCGAAGTGATGTGAAACCTCTGCATATTATTCAACCTGAAGGTCCTAGCTTCCGTGTTGATGGACACTTTGTTCAATGGCAGAAGGCACATTAGCAGCTAACCCTGATTTATTGTCATATTTTACTAATAAATGCCATGCGGTTTAAACTTGGTTTCCTATTCTTCTGCTTTTTTGTAGTGGAGCTTTCGCATTGGCTTCACCCCCAAGGAAGGTTTGGTTATATACTCTGTTGGTTATGTTGATGGTAGCAGAGGCCGTAGACCCGTGGCTCATAGACTAAGCTTTGCTGAGATGGTAGTCCCGTATGGTGATCCAAACGATCCTCACTACAGGAAAAATGCATTTGATGCTGGTGAAGATGGGCTAGGTAAAAATGCTCACTCACTAAAGAAGGTAAGAATACATCCTTTTGTTGCTCATTTATACATCATCTCTCCTTATTTTACCATATTTGCAGTAAACTCAAATGAATTCGATTGACTTTTGGTTGGCAGGGCTGTGATTGTTTAGGCTGCATAAAGTATTTCGATGCACACTTCACAAATTTCACAGGAGGGGTTGAAACAATTGAAAACTGTGTATGCTTGCACGAGGAGGATCATGGAATCTTATGGAAACATCAAGATTGGAGAACAGGTTTAGCTGAAGTAAGGCGTTCACGACGATTGACAGTTTCTTTCATGTGTACTGTGGCAAACTATGAATATGGTTTTTTCTGGCATTTCTATCAGGCAAGTTATTTAACTCCCTCTGGCAGGCAAATAATTGTTTCAGACATTTTATGGTCAGTCATTGATAAAATATCAAAGCAGGATGGGAAAATCCAAGCAGAGGTTAAGCTTACTGGAATTCTTAGTCTAGGAGCTTTACAACCCGGGGAACAACGCAAATATGGGACAACCATTGCCCCTGGCCTATATGCACCTGTGCATCAACACTTCTTTGTGGCTCGTTTGAACATGTCTGTTGACTGCAATCCAGGAGAAGCCTATAATCAGGTAAATTTTCATTCTTACCCTTCTTTCTGTACGTATTGATAAATGATTACATGAAGTGTGTTTATGAATGCTCTTGTCATTAATTCTAGATTTTTAGTCTTTTCTTTCAAACAGTCCTTAGTTATTCCTTGTGAGGTTTATACATTGCTTTCTTATTTGTGTTTAGGTTGTTGAAGTAAATGTTAAAGTCGAAGAGCAAGGTGAATGTAATGTCCATAACAATGCATTTTTTGCTGAGGAGAGATTACTCAAAACTGAACTGGAAGCTATGCGTGACTGTAATCCTTCGTCTGCTCGACATTGGATTGTACGGTTATTTATTGTCTCATCCTGGATTATTCTCTTCTTTATAAAAAATTAAGCACATGTTCATTCGTGATTAATACTTGTGCGCTTTCTTAAATTGTTTTTGTTTTCCGTAATCTATAATTATGAGACGGCACCTTTTTTTCATTTTAATTGTTTTATCTATACACGATAGGCAAACTTTATGTAATTATTCTCATCAACAATATATTATAATTTAGATAAAGAACACAAGAACAGTGAACCGTACAGGGGAGTTGACAGGCTACAAGCTGGTGCCTGGGTCAAACTGTTTGCCATTAGCCGGTCATAAGGCCAAATTTCTAAGAAGGGCTGCTTTTCTAAAACATAACCTTTGGGTCACCCCATATAGTCCTGATGAGATGTTTCCAGGTGGAGAATTTCCTAATCAAAACCCGCGAGTTGGAGAAGGACTGGCCACATGGGTTAAATTGAACCGTTCCCTAGAAGACAGCGACATTGTTCTCTGGTTAGTTAGTCTTCCCTCCTTTTTGACATGATAGTAAAGAGTAATGTTAGAGGACATTAAACAAGGACCTATTAGTTTGGATATATTTCAGGCTAAAGAGAGCAGGCCAGATTTACACAGACAGACCAAACCAGATTATAACAGGTCAAATTAGACCATGCCAACTGAATAATAATAAAACAAATTACACATAATTCAAACAGACCAGACTTAAAAAGACGAAACCAATTAAGCTCAGTCTAGTAAATTCAGTCCAAATGTACCTGTCTTAAAAGGGTAGAAAAGAATTGTGTAACAGAACAGTTTTACAGGTATGTTTTTGGGGTGACACATGTCCCACGGTTGGAAGACTGGCCAGTAATGCCCGTGGAACACACTGGTTTCATGCTCATGGTACAAACATTCTTTTTATAAATAATTCTAGAATAGTATTTGCATTAGTATGAATTCTTTTGTGCAGCCCCATGCACACTGGTTTCATGCACACTGGTTTAATGTCCTGTATAATTCTTTTTATATCATAAACTTGGAGTTGCTATGTTGTGCAGCCCCATGGATTCTTTAATTGCTCACCGGCTGTGGATGTGCCTCCTAGCTTATTGGTTGAATCACATACCAAGGAAAATGGAGCCATGGCAAAAGCATGTCACTCTGGTTTGAATGCTAAGCTTTAAGGGGACAAAGCTTTTCTTCAAGGGGATAAAGTTCATGTTAATAGATTGTTGCTTACTGAAACTACTGCCATTGTGGTTTTCTTTTTACAACTTTTGAACATAAGGGGCTAAGGACATTTCTAATATATCGTTTTGTGCCACATTTTTTTAATGAAGTCCGTATCTATAAAGGATACTCCCAGTTGTCATTCATTATTCAGCTGTTTCTGTCTACTTTGAGAACTACGGAGTAGAATTAGTCAGGGTCTTGTATTTTGCCCCCACAATTATAGCCCTACCAGACGCTCCTCTTGCTGCCCAAAAGTCTAAAGGCTACAAGCCGCATGAATGGTTGTCTACTCTTAGGTCGAGAACTACGGAGTAGAATTAGTCAAGAGGACGGTTGGTAGGGCTACAATTGTGGGGGCAAAATACAAGATCCTGACTAAATCTACTCTGTAGTTCTCGACCTAGGGAGTGAGATGTTTGAATGTGTGATGGGTTTAAGTACTCAGTTGGTTGGGCAGGGAACAACCACGCACTCGGTCTTCTAGCGAGTGAGGATACAACCCAAAAATGCGATAATTTGGGAATAAATCATCTTCGGGGAGATACTTGGTCGGCCCCACCATGAGGAGCCTGAACATTCTACTCGACCAGGAGCAAGTTGGACGATCAATTATTTACATTACGCACATCTCAAAATTGTCATCAGTCTACACAAAGTTTGTTAGCCACCAGGGCTGTCTAGAGCAATTTTGAGGCCCTAGACGGTCATATAGCGTAAAAAGTAGAATATCAAATTAAATAGAAGTGAATTAATTATATATGAAATGCATCATATATACTATTAAAGTAAAGACAATATTTTTCGAAAGTAAAAGATCCAAAATTGATAAAAAATAAATGGTTATAAACTAATAGTCTATTCTTTTAGTTTTTTGAAGAGCGAAATTCGTAAGAACGTCACTACAACTAAGAGAAGTTAACATATTTTTCAATCGATATAATAGCCAAACCATAAAGCCGACAAGCGATTTTATAACCATGTGTCTCATGTCCTTTCTTAATTTGTTCTTTCTCTTTGTACATCCCTATTCATGTTTTCATTTTCCTGTCATTCCAAATCTACAATTTCATACAATTTTCAACTAGATAAAACTTTTCTAACTTTCAATATTCAATAATACAAATATACGAATATACAGTAAGTTTTAAACTTTTAATGACAAAATTGAGTTATTGTTATTATTATTTGATATATTATAATAGAATGATATAGCAAATAAATAGCCTAGGCCCACTACCTACTACCCTAATTAAGTCCCTAACCGACTAACTATTAAAAAAATAGTACACCATAATTGAAAAACTGAAAAAAGCTAAACTACGGAGTAAAAAAAGCTAATGCATAATCCACTACATTATAAAATCAATATTTTAAGTTAGAGAAAGTTAAAAATTAGAAGGCCTTAGACCCTACGACATAAGACCTCAAGCGGCGGAATTGAGAAGACCGATTGCTGATTGCGTGCAGCGAAGGAACGGAAGGGTCGAACTTCAAAGTAGGAAGTCCCAAGTTGCTAGTCTGCAGGCATTTTAATGTTTTTACTTTTTAATTTTGGGAGATTTTATTATTAATTTACAATTTAATTAAATATATACCTATAATACTAATAGGCTTACATAAAAAATTGGAGACCCCTATAAATTGGAGGCCCTAGACATATGTCTAGGCAGCGTACTACGTCATCATTTTTTTTTTTTATGGAAGGCACTTCATGTAGGGGTAGTTAAATGTATACTTCATGTTGTTGTCTTCAAGGATGGGAATGGTCAAGGATGTTTTTAATTGAACTCATTTCAGTCTTAGGATGTTTTCTTTTGGACCGAAATTTGCTGGTCTGGTCTGGTCTGGTCTGGTCTGAACTGGTCTGGTCTGGTAAACATCTGGTCTCTGTGTATTTTATAACTACGGAAGTCAAGTCTGGTCTGATCTGGTCTGATCTGATCTGGTCAGGTCTGGTGTGGTCTGGGACTGAAAACAGTCCAAAAGAAAACATCCTTAGACCCAACAACTTTAAACTTATTAAGTTTGATCAAATTAGATCAGGCCAAAGTTAATACATAATCAAATACAGAGTTTTTGCCACTTGTAGTCCTTCGACTATTATGTCATTGACACTTTTGATACTCTATTTTGATTTTTTTCATTTCTAGTCCTCGACTATTGCGCTAGAGACACTTTTGGTACCCGTCTTTGAAAATTTCCACATTTAGTCCTTCAACTTTCATAAAAGTGACACTTTTGGTCCTTCAACTATTATAATAGATTAATATTGACATTTTTAGTCCTCCACTTATTGTGTCAAAATCATAATGATATGACTAAAAGTGTCAATTTGATAATATTCAGGGGACTAAATGTGGGAAACCTTGAAGTCGGGGACTAAAAGTGTCCCTGACACAATAATTGAGGACTAAAAATGAAAAAAATTAGAAGTAAAATATCAAAAGTGTCATTGATATATTAGTCGAGGACCAAAAGTGGCAAAATCTCTCAAATACACATTTTATTAGACAAACCAGAAAATTTGAATCCAATTTAATTAAAATTGGACGGAGTTGTGTGCAAGTCTAGGGGGGCCTTGGCCCCTCCCAACATTTTTTTTTAAAATTATTGGCTTGTAATCCCTCCCCCCACCTAATTTTGTGTTTCCCTAGTAGTAAATAGTTCAAAATATATATGTTTATAATTTGTACTACATTTGGAATTTTTCAATACTTCATTAAAATATCATACCTATAAAAAGACTATATAACTATATTTTCTAGGGGTAGTTATTTTTGGAAAATATTAAATTCATAACACTTTACTTTGGAGGAGTAGTTATTCCATCGTAAATAATACTCGGTACTCCGTATGTTATAATATATTATTGATAATATATTAAGAGTAGTATTGGAGATATTAGTCTTAAAGTGTCTAACATAAAAGAATTATAAGAAAAATTGAGATAATAATAAACTTAAAGAGGAGTATATTATGTAGTAGCAGAGTCCTGTTCTTGTCCAGCTGGCCTAACGGGAACCTCCGTCCGGCCGAGGGCATTTCGGGAACTTCCCGATTGAATTTTTTGATGAAATGTTTTGAGCATGCTCAAAAAATTTCATCAAAAAATTCGATCGGGAAGTGCCCACAATGTCCTCGGCCGGATGGCGGTTCCAGTCAGGTCGGCTGGACATGAAGTTTTCTCTGTAATAGCATTTTGGCCCCCTTACTCTCACCTCGTGGCTCTGCCCTGAATCAGGTAAACCAGTTATATTAGTTGGTGTGCTCGCGACTCTTATGGTCATTTTATCAATAGCTAGAACGGAATGGTGCAAGCGGTTGTGACTGAGTGACTCCATTAAAAGCAAATAAAAGCATCTTTAATGGGATATGAATTGCACCCCATAAAAAATGGACATGTCACCCATGTAAACGGACTGTGGCGCTGAGGTGGATCCACAAACATATAAAATACGGAGTAACATCTATGCTCCAACGCAAGCGTGGAGTTGAAAACTAATCATACGGAACATCACTAAAAAACAATCCAACTTTTCTTCTTAAAGAGTTTTATTCGCATGTGGGCGAGTTGTTTTATACGGAGGAGTATAAACAACATTTTTATGGACAAACAAATACGAAATTCTTCCATGTACAAGCATATTGGGGTATAAACACAATTAGATATAAACCACAATTTTATGGACAAACAAATAAGAATTTTAATTTTGTTTTTATTAGGCGACAAGTAATTAATGGTAGTGCACTGTGCACATGATCTTGCTATGATATGTACTAATTAGATTTCTTCCAAGTTTTTCATTATGCTCCTTATGGTAATATGGACATTCTTAATGATGAATAAATTAAGCTTTTTGGTTAAAAAGCTGGGTACATTAAGGCTATCTTTGGCGGGCACAAATCTTTGCCCTCTAGCTTTTGTACTGTTCAAAAAGTCTATAAAAGCTTCTAGTTATATGTTTGGCATGACAATTTTTAAGAACTTTTCAAAAATTAAAAGATCTTTTTTGAGATGTAATAAGGGTATGTTTGGCACAACTAGCTAAAAAGATATTTTTACAAGTTTTTTAGTAACCGTTAACTTTTAGTGACTGAAAAGATCTTAAAAAGAAAAGGTGATAGCTGTTTGGTAAAAAGCTGACTGTTTGATTTAGTTCGGTTTGGTATACAAGCTGTTAGGACTAATTAATACTAAAACTCACGAGCTTTTTCTCAGATGCTACACCCGGTAGCATCTAAAAAAAGATCTTTTAATTTTTGAAAAGCTCTTAAAAAATGTCATGCCAAACAGACAACTAGAGTCTTTTAAGGTCTTATTAAGAAATAGAGAAGCTGGAAGCTAGAGCCTTTTGTTTGCCAAACATAGCCTAAGCCCGTGACTTTTAGAGCCCGTTTGGTGGCACGAAAATCGGCCGATTTGGCTGATTCTGCTGAAATTTATGAAGTTCTGGCTGAAGTGACTGCATTGGATGATTCTGCTGATTCAAGAAAAAAAAATTTAAAATATATTTAATTAATAAAATAAAGAAAATATTATATGTAAAAATGGCTAAAAAAACATCTACACTAAGTTCAGCCAATACGGCCAGAAAAGTAACTCTAAACTTACTTTTTCTGCTTATTACAAAATTCAGGGCGCAAAAACATAAGTTACGTATTTGGTGAAATAGTTGGCTGATAAGCCTAAAAATCCGAAAACAGTGTTGCCAAATGGTCTCTTAGTATTAATTAGCCATAACAGCTTGTATACTAAACCGAACTAAATCAAACAGTCAGCTTTTTACCAAACATCTTTCACCTTTTATTTTTAAGATCTTTTTAGTCACGAAAAGCTAACAGTTATTAAAACGCTCATAAAAGTATCTTTTCAACTAGTTGCGCCAAACATAGTACCCTTAATGTTTAGTTACACGCTAATTCCACGCTATTAGTTCTTCTAGTTGTCAACCTCAATAAAATTAAAGTGTACAATACAAATATTGTTATGATAACTAATGCAATGATAATGTGTTATTTTAATGAGTAAGCATGTAATTTTAGGCTAAAAACTGAGTCGACAAGATTTAGTTAGATCGCGTAGGTACATGATACAAGTCGTGAAGTCG